AGGCAAAGGACGAGTGTCCGGCCACCCCCTTTCCCATGGTGGGCTTGCCCACGCTCAGGGCAGGCAGGGGAGAGGCAGAACCAGACAGTGTGTGACTGGCCAGCATGGATCTGGCACACTGCCCTGGTCCTCCTGGTATCCAGCTGCAGAGGGCTGTTTTGGGGGGTTTGGGTGGGCTCAGATGCGTGGGCAGGGAGAGGTGCCACAGGTACCTGCTCAGCGCTGTGAGGCAGGACTGGCTCTACCTCAGGCTGTGGAAGGGGTGGGTATCCCTGCTGACACCTCTGAACAGGAGCCAGCAGTGTGCCCAGGTGGCCAAGAAGACCAATGGCATCCTGATCTGTATCAGAAGCAGTGTGGCAGCAGGAAAGTGATTCCTCCTCTGTACTCAGCACTGGTGAGGCCACATCTCGAGTGCTGTGTCCAGCTCTGGGCCCTCAGTTCAGGAAGGACATGGAGGGGCTGGAGCAAGTCCAGAGAAGGGCAACAAGGCTGGTGAAGGGTCTGGAGCACAAGCCCTGTGAGGAGAGGCTGAGGGAGCTGGGGTTGTTGAGGCTGGAGAAGAGGAGGCTCAGGGGAGACCTTCTCACTCCCTACAACTCCCTGAGGGGAGGGTGTAGCCAGGTTGGGCTCTTCTCCCAGGCAACCAGCGACAGGAGGAGAGGACACAGTCTTAAGCTGTGCCAGGGGAGGTTTAGATCAGACATTTGGAAGAATTTCTTCACAGAAAGGGTGATTAGGTATTGGAATGGGCCCAGGGAGGTGGTGGAATCAGTGTCCCTGGAGGTGTTTAAGGAAACCTGGAAGTGGCATCAGAGCCATGGTCTAGTTGGCCATGGTGGTGTTTGGTCATAGGTTGGACTGAATGATTTCAGAGGTCTTTTCCAACCTAATCAATCCTATGAGTCTGTTATTCTGTGATTTTTGGCCCTCCCAATCCTGGCCACCACAGCCAGTTCATCCCCACCAGCTCCATCCTGTGCCCCAAGAGAGCATGGCCATGGGTTATCACCATGTTGGGCAGTGCAATCATCATGAAGGTGTTTCTTGGCCAGATATGGAGGTAGTTTGGTTCCATGGCAAACTGAAAGAGAAGAGAAAATCATCTTGTATCCTTGACACCAGTTCCCATTCTTTGTACCATGGGAAGACACAACAACTACAGGGCCCCTGACTGGTACCTGACGCTTCAGGAAGACACAGGGAAAGAGGAAAGGGTAAGAAATATGGGAAAAATGGAAAAAAATCCGCTGCTCTGCAGCTGCTGATACCCTCTCAGACATGTTCCCATACCCTCAGGACCTCTCAGAGCTAGAGTTAACCCCAATGCTTCAGGACAGCCTCTCTAGGATTTTTGCAGCCAGGTACCAACCTCTGGAAGAGGAAGAGATCCCTGCCTTCTCCTGGGAGAGGTTTAACCCCTTTCCTGAACCAGAGGTAAGAAATTAGTTCCTCTAAAGCTGTTCTAGCAGAGCCACCATGAGAAGGGGGCAGGGTGTCCAAGCCCCAAAGGTCACAGCAGCCTCTGGGACAGGCACACTTACATCTCCATCTTTGGGAGGGATGGTCAGCTCCATGTAGCCGTGAGGAATGTACTGCTGACTGTAGTTAAAGCGCGTTTGCCTCATGAACTGTTTTCTGACTGTTGAGAAGGCTCCATCACAGCCCACAATGAGGTCATAGGTGACTTCCAAGGTCTGCTGGTCAGATCTGAAAGCAAAGGGAGTCCTTTGGATCAATCTGATCTTTTAGGTCCCTTCCAACTCTAACCATTCTATGATTTTATGATTAATCTTGCTGTAACTCCAGGCCAGCTCAGCACCTTTTGCAAAATGTCTGGGTAACCTCCAGCATTATTAATCTTCTAGGGTGAGGGAAGATTGGCTTTCACGGCCTGGGAAGCTCTGTGTTAGGACAAATAATTATCCTGTAGGTTATCAAAAGCATAACTCTGCCAGCTGCACTCAACAATGCAGCAGACAGCCTTGGGGTAACACTGCTGAGCCTGCATGCCCAGGTGGGTTGGGTCATGACCAGAACTTCACCTAACTATGAAACAAGGTCGCAGAATTACAGAATGGTTTGGGTTGGAAGGGACCTAAAAGCCCATCTTGTTCCAACCCCCTGCTGTGGGCAGACACACACACACACACACACACAAGTTTCAACACTAAGATTGCTCAATTGTTTGAGGTTGTATGAATGATTAAGCAGAAACTAACTGACCACAACACTTGATCCCACGCTTGCCCAGGGATTACCTTTTTATGGATAACGTCCCCAACTCTGCATTGCACTCCAGGAGCTTGTGTCCAAAGTACAGCATAGTGTTGGAGTACTTCTCAGCAGCTGTGAAAAGACAAGACAACTTAATGTAGAGGGGCTTACTGTGACTCCAAAAATATTTCCAAGAGATCCCTAAATTATAGGGGGTTTTGCCATTACAGCAAATAATTTGCTGTGTTGAGTGAGGGCCAGCAGGCAGGGCACACTGAGACTGGTTAACTATGGTAAAAACTATTTAAAAAATGCAAGGACTCTTGCAAAGATTTCTTTCTTCCTCAAAATGACATGAGTCATTGCCTACTTTCCACCATCACTCCACTGAATTTCAGGATGGGATGAGGTGCCTGCAGTCAATGGGGAAGTACTGGAAATTTGGCCATAGTGCTCCAATTTTTATTTGTCTCTGTACAATCAGGAGTTATGGAAAATGCCACAAACCATGACAAGGACGAGGAGGCATGTCCTGCTTTATCTGGGAAACAGAACAGGTTTTCTTCTTAAAAACATGGCTAGTTCATGTTTGCACTTTCTGAGAGCCAGGTAAGGGAGTTTAGGGCCCAAAATCTGCTGGTTATGGGGCAAACCCGAAATCCTCAGGAAAAAGGGTGTAGAAATATTTGCGAACAGAAGTGACGACCTACCTGTCAGCAGCTCTTTGTTTAAGTTTGCTCTGTCCACAGACAGAATGTACTGCAAGGCAAACAAACAGGGGGTTCAGAAGGTTTTGCTGAAGGATTGCTCTGCAGGGCCAGACAGGAAACCCTCCCCCCTTCAAACAGCCCCACTGAACCCGGGGGTCATGCAATCCCCTTTCTGCATCCTCCCCAAGAGCGGGAGCCCCAGACTGTCCATAACACAGAGGCACAAATGCCAGACACAGGCCCCCCTTCAGTACCTGGTTCTTCTTCCCATAAGGGATAGAGTACTTTTTCCCTGAAGGTGTGTGTATCCTCCTTGCCTGCATGGGAATGCCCTTGGACACAATCTGAAACAGAAGGGAACACACCTCTGGTTAAAAGTGTGGGGGTTTAATACAAGTTACCAAGCATCACCCCCCTCCCCAAGCACTGCACTTGAGGAAGAAAGGGGTGCTCTCTGCTCCTACCTTTCCATGTGCTTATCCAAGTCACCGGGGAAAATTTTACAGGGCTGTCATGCCAAGTCACTGCAGTTTACTGAGGTTACTTACAAGCTCATTCTCATAAAAATCAGGGGGAAATTATTTTTGGATAGAAGGGACATAAAAAATCCCAGGGTGCTGGACAGGGCAGGGGGTGACAAACAATTTACATCCTGGGACTGGGATACGTGTTGTCAAAGCTTGGGCTCCTCTGCAGGGATCCAGGGGCGAGGACATCCCATCACTGCCAACAGCTGGACACTGGGCACACTGGGCTGTTAAATGGTAACCAGCACCTTGCAGAATGAAGGTTTTGTGGGAGAATCTGGACACGTCAGTGCAGAAACCAGACCCCTTTATTGCATCCTGCTTTAGGGCACCAGCTCTTTTGGGAGTCCATCTACTCCTGCCCTGTTTGCCCTCACCTCCAGGAGGAAGGACAGTATGGAGGGGAGGTAAACACTGGTAGGTGTTTCCTGAGTGTTTGGTGTCCTGGGGAAGCACCCACTGCCAGGAGCAGAGCTCAGCTGCCTGGGGCTGGGTGCTGCCTCCAGGCTGGGGGAGATCCCTCTGGCAGCTGTGCCGTGGAGCAGGGGAGAGCCAGGCTGCAGGCAGGCAGTGCAAGAGGTCTACCTGGGAGAGGTCTGCCTGGGAGACATCTACTTCCACCCTCACAAAAGCAGAGCTACCTCTGCATGCTTGAGGAGCAGAAGAGAGCCTGTCCATCGCCAGCTGAAGTCAAGAGCGTTCTAACCACAGAGACCCCACCACCAACAGGATCTGCCAGGGTACCTGCTCCTCCATCCCCACGGCTCGGAGGGCTTGGCATCCTCTGTGAGACAGGGCCAAGTTAATGCTTCTGCCACGGGCAAAGCTGGCCACTCGGATGTCTGCGTGGGAAGAACAGTTGGTTATGGGGGCACTGACACCACAGCCTGGTCTGGGCAGCATCTCCCAAACCCCCTGCAGCAACAGCAGGAGGGGCAGTGGGGAGTCCCCGTCCTCCTGCTCTGGGTGCAGGGAGGGCAAGTGTCAAAAGGCACATTTAGCTGTTGGGCTGAGCAGCTTCTGGGCCACCTCTAGCCAGGGAGAAGCAGCTGCAGCCCAGTGCTGCAAAGGGAATGCTGGATCCTGACAGCTCCCCACAGTGCCAGAGGGCCCGTTATCATTGAGCCATTTCCCCTCTAAATGGAGAGGGCTGAGCGATGAATGCCTGGCAGATTCTGCTGAGACCCCACAGACTGACACTTTCTGGGACATTGGCAGTTCACCTTCTTCACTCCTGTTCAGATGGAAATGTCTGGGTTCCTCCTCAGAATTGCCTCACTCAGCCTTCCCAGATTGCCTGGCCAGTGCATGGGGCAGAGCCTCCTCATGCATCTCACCATAAGCAATGGGCCAAAAGCTGGAGAAGAGGAGTAAAATCCATCCAACTCAGAAGGCAGAGGCTTTTTGAGCTTGGGGAACTTCTAGCAACCGTGAGCCATGCAGCAGAACTGCCCGTCCTGATGTCTGTCAGAGCAGGAAGAGTTTCCACAGAGATCACGTGTCAGGTGCAGCTTCTCCTTCCCTTCACTGCATGCTTGAGTTTCCCCTTCCATGGTGTCGTTCTCACCTGCTGCTTGGCTTGCCACCTCTGCCCAGGTTCTCTTTGTCTGCCAGCTGACAGACACCGAAGGTGAACGATTTCTCTGCCTTTCAGCCAGCACCTTGGCTCTAAGTAATGATTTCTCTGTTGTGGCACCCTGTGGACTTGGAGGCTTCCTGAGAGCACTCCATCTCTCCTTCTGGTACAGCTCTGGACTATAATGCTTCGTGCAGAGACCAAGTTTGAAAGGTGAGGATTTGAATCAATATTTAAGCCAAGAACATAAAAAGGACATTGTTTTAGTAGCTGAAGGGTGGGTTCTCTCCACACAAGGCAACATACTTCAAATAAATGCTCCCCCACCACCACAGGAGCTAAAGGGAAGAGTGAAAAGAATATCCCCAAACTGTCACACTTTCAGATTTCTTTTTTCCTGTGGTTTCAGTGAGCTCACACAGTAATGATCAGGCTGAGCTTACCTTCTCTGGCTTCATAAACGTCAACATGGAAACCTCGTCTAGCAAAGAAACAGGCATTTAACGCGCCCACCTACGAGAGAAGGACCAGGAACGGTGGATGAAGTATTCCACAGGTCACTACTGAGATGCATCAAGGGAAAGCAGTGATCAGGGGATGCAGCTCAGCATGGACAGGTAAGTCCTTTGACCAAGAGCCTTAGAGGACTTTTTGCTGAGAGCAGTCCTCTGGCAGACCTGATGTGTCTGCAAAGTCTCCAAGACCAAAGCCACTCATCAAAACTCTTCATATAAAGTCATACCAAGCTCAGGCTTGTTTACACACAGTGACTGAGTGCAGCAGGGTTAATCTCTTCAGCCAGAGATAGCAGGAGCTGGTGCAGGCAAGCTCTCAGCTCCTCTCTGGACTATGTTTATCTTCCTCAATAGAATTCTGGGTGCTGCAGCGTTCCCTTGGGAACACAGTGGGGGAGAACAGCACAAATATGTCCTGTTTATTATTTAAATCAATTTTTTCTTGTTTAATTTCCGTCACTAATTGCTGTCAGAACTACAGACTCTTATGTCATCGCTCTTTTCCAAGAAGCTAATGTCCAAAAAGTCCAGAGAGAGATGTTAGGTGCTGCAATGCTCCATGCTATCATAGGATCATAGACTCACAGAATGGGTTGGGTAAGGAAGGGACCCTAAAGATCATCTCATTCCAACCCCCTGCCATGAGCAGGGACATCTTCCACTAGACCAGGTTACTCAGAGCTCCATCCAGCCTTGGCCTTTAGAGTAAGACCACTCCGCAAGTAGCAGGGGATGAAAACCATTCCCAAACAAAAGTGGGCAGAGGAAGGCATTTCCTCTTAGCCTGGCATTTACTGAGTCTCAGTCCTTGCAAAGCATTTCACACTGGTGACTTGGTTACAGCTAGAAACAGCCAAGGGGCAGGGGCATCTGGCAGCCCATCAAGGCCTGTTATTTAATGTACCTGGGCACCATTGCTCCACCACCACCCAAACCCCTTCCTCTGAGAAAAGGACACAAGCCTCCCACAGCGGGAACAAAACCAGCCCCTTTCCGACACCCCATCACCTCAGAGAGGAATGATTTTAAGACAAACATCCAACCATGCTCAGGCAGTGCTTTTACGGCCCCAGCTCCCTGGCAAACACAGTCATGCAGCAGCTAAAGGGCATTTCCTACCAGGCCACCTCCGACAACAGCAACTCTCTTCCCGTGTGGGTCACAGGGCTCCATCACCAGGGCAGCCCCCGGGCCTCAGGTGCTCCCTGCTGTGTCCCGTCCCGCTCTCTGTCCTGCCACACCACCCTCTCCAGTGGGGAGGGGAAGAACATGGGAGGCTGAGTCATGCCTGGGCTCCTCTCCCCTGGTTCGTATTAAAGTTTAACTCTCAGCACAGAGAGTGTCAGCGAGTCAGCCTGGCTGAGCCTCGGGGGCAGAGATGGGGACTTGGCGTTACTCAGCCAGGCTTTATCCAAAAGCCTCTTTGAGAAATTGTAAAGCAACTCCACAGTCTTCAAGGAACATACACAGAGCAGGAGGAGAACCTGCATCTGCCAGGGTTTTCCTAGAGCTTCACTGGGCTGCAGCTGCAGGGGCACTGGTGGGACAATGCGGAGTCGCTCCTGGGGCTGCACAGGCTCTCTCCTGAGGTTGAAATGTGAGCCACCCTGCTTGCCCAGGAGCCTCGTCCTGTCTTTGAGGACATCTTTCATCCAAGGAAGCTGCGTGTGACAAGCATTTTGGGGTGTGATGCTGGGCAGAGGGTCGATGCCTAATCTGCAGAAGCTTTCCAGGACTTGAATGAGGCTGTGAGACGTCTCTGCAGGCACCATTTCACATGCCCACCCTTGGGAGGAAATGCTCTGCTGAGCCAGGGCTGCACACAGCAAGCTTTGCAAAGGGAGGAGCCAATTCCAGCCTGCACACAATAGTTAAACAGCAGACATGAAAGCACATGCATTAGCACACACTGACCACCATTTATTGCTAAACCTGCCGTGCACAGCCCAAACCAGCAGATTTGGCTCATAGAATCCTTAGGGTAGGAAAAGTCCTCTAAGATATTTGAGTCCAATTGTTAACCCAGCACAGCCAAGCCCACCACTAAGCCATGACCCTGAGCACCACATCTACATGACTTTTAGAGACCTACAGGGATGGGGAAGGACTTAACTGCTGCCCTGGGCAGCCTCTTCCAGTGCTTGACAAACCTTTCAGTTAAGAATTTCTTCCTAATGTCCAGTCTAAACCTTCCGTGGTGCAGCTTGAGACCATTTCCTCTTTCAGGTAGAGAGTGAGAAGTTGTACAAGAGTCTTGAAAGAGAAAGATCAAATCCCTCCACAAGCACAGCACCATTCCTCGTGGCATGCCCTGGTTCCCAGTCCAGTAAGGGCCAGCAACTCAACACACAGGGTTGACAGGAGCCACAAGCAGCCCCAGCCCGAGCTTAAATGGGAATGCTGGCCTTGGGGAGAGCAGTGGTCCCAGGTGGGCTGGCTGGGGTTGTTAAAGGCTGTTGGTACCCACGGGCCCTGGCACTGCATCCAACCCAGTCACCACTAAAGAGCCTCCAGTGGGTTTCTCTGATCTCCACAGCAGTGAATTGATCCACACTGTCTGATTGACTCACACACACCCAGCACAGACAACAGAGCAGGGAGGGCAAAGAGCAAGGTAGGTTTTACATAGTAAATAAATTATTCATTAGTTGTTTTTGGAGCACAGACAGCACACCACTAGCTTCCTGCAGTGGCTGTTACTATGTTTTCTTCGTTCCCAATGAAATTTAGATCCCTGGGTCATCTTAATCAGATTCACTTGCAAACTGCACGAGGCAAACCCAATGTACAGATGTTCTCTGCTTTAAAAACAGGAGAAGGTGGGAAGACATTGCGAAAGTGGTACGAAATCGTTGTTCATCTTTCTGTATTAAGGACAACCAGGCTGCTGAGAGCATGAAAAAGTGCCGCCTGATAAAAACTTTGAGCCTTTTAAAGGAGCTGTAAATGAAAACAAAAAGAACAGGATAGCATGGGCATGGATTAAAGCCTGCCCTCTGAAAACTAGTGGGAAAAGTGCTTGATTTATGCTGCTGAAGAAAAAGGCATGCCAATAATCAAGGAAGAACATCAGGATTTTATTATTTTTAGAAAGGCTATGGTCCACTTGCAGAGGATCCCATCCTGTCAGTATGTGGGCCACCTGCAACAAGAAAAATGTGTTTATTGTGTTTGGTAATAGCCAGCAGTGCTGATGAAAGAAGATGTTTGGTCTCATAACTCATGGTGGAAGGCAGCTGAAGAAGAGGAAGGAGACAGCTCAAAGGCCACGACAAGACCTTTGCCGATTTCTGCAGACAGAGAATTGCACTGATTCCGAAAGGAGCCAGGAGTTCTTTACTGGTTCAGATTACAAACCCATGTAAAAGGGAAATAGGTAGAAATGTTTATCCCTTATAATCCCATTAGGTAAATAATCTGTTCAGGAATTCAAATCCTCTGCCAGCCGTACAGATACCCCTGCCAGCAGGTCACAGGGGCCCAGGGCTGCAGCTGCCTCCGTCCTGTCCTTCTGTTCACTAAGGCTCGGAAAGAGCCACAGCACAGAAATAAAAGCTGTGTTCTCACCAATGCAGCAGTGTGTCCCCATGCCATCCCCCATGCTCCAGCAAAGTGCATTTCTTTACCAGTCTTGGCACGTAAGAACTTTCTAGCACCTAGGAAGCCAACCAGGGCAAGCTCAGAGGAAGGCAACAAAGCAAGTGAGCACCTGGAGGAGCTGGCTGCTGAGCTCTGTGCAGGGCTCAAGGGCTCTACAGACCCGGGAGCATCATCCATTTCTGCACGTGAAACCCTTCTCCCCCAGCTGCAGGCACAGGTTCAGCTTTATTTCTGATGCTCCTCTCCCTTTGGACCATTTTTTCTCAGCTGTTGGGGTTTTTTTCCCCAAGAATTTCCGAGTAGCAAATGTCTCAGCAGTGTTTTAAGAACGTAAATCCTGCTGTAGCCTGAACGTAAAACACACAACCCCCTTGTTTAGCAGGTGACTGCTGGGTTCACAGGGAGACCCACAACCCAGGGTAAGAGCCCCTGCAGAGCAGAGCCCCACAGCATGGCAGGGCAGGGGCTCTGTGAGGCAGGGACACGGCTTGGTATCACCTGTGGATCTTGTCTGATCCTCATGTTTATTCCACAATCTGCCTTGCTACCCACCTGTGCAGGAAGAATGGGCTGCAAGGGTATGTCACAGCTGCCTGCTTACGTACCTAGGCTGGGTGGAGAGCAAGCTGCCTACGTCCAGGTCCAGTGGTGCGCCGTGGATGGGGATGGGAAGCCCCTGGGAGGCACTGGGAGCACCCCTGGGGGAGGGTAGTGGTGGTGGTGGTGCACCACGGGTGGCCTGGGACGATCTGCCTTCACGGCCAGGGGAGCAGCAAGCTGCAGGTCCTTGTTGGAGAGAGACAAAGGGAAGGTGGAGAAACCTGTGCCCCCATGGGAAGGGTCTCTGGCCGAGGGGCTGTGGTCCCACTCAGCCACCAGTTCAGAAGGTCCAACAAACATTTGGTGATTTCAGATTTCCCCTGATACTCAGAGGCACTCAGATCCCACTCCCTCCAATTTATTCCACTGGTCAATGCCAGGGAAATGCAGAGTGACAGGATGGCCTGGAGAGGGAGGGAGGGATCAGGGGATACATTCTCTCTTTCAGCACAAGGAAAAGTTAGCCTGAAGGTTGTGGGGTAGGAAAAGTACAGAGGAAGGTTTTGCAACACTAACACATCCTCTCCTCTACAAAGATCAACTTTCCTTTCTTCTTCGATAATAAATGCCATGGAGGAGAGATTGGACATTTTCCCAAAGCACTTAAGGATGCTAAGGAGCTCTATCACCTTGTTAAAAATAGTTTAGGAACTGGGCATCAAATTTACCTACCCCTCATCAGGCACTGGACACATTTTGAAAAAATCCCTACAGGGCTCTACATACTAAAATATATCTAAGAACCTGTCTTTTCAAAGCTGAGTAGCAACTAATTTTCAGTGAGGCAGGAACTAGAGCAGAGGTGCTCCAGGTACCATCACAAAATCTGCGCTTCAGCTCTAATCCATCTGATACTGCCAGGTCAGCATTTACTAATAAAATAATTTGTAACACGAATGCTCATAGAATTACAGAATGGTTTGGGTCGGAAGGGACATTCAAGATCCTCTCATTCCAAGCCCTGGCCATGGGCAGGGTCACCTTCCCCTAGCCCAGGTTACTCCAAGCCCTGTCCAACCTGGCCTTGAGCACTTGCAGGGATGGGGCAGCCACAGCTTCTCTGTGCCAGGGCCTCACCACCCTACAGGGAAGAATTCTTTCCCAATATTTAATCTAAACCTATTCTCTTTCAGTTTAAAGCCATTCCCCATTGTTCTATTACTGCCTGCCCTTGCCAAAGGCCCCTCTCCAGCTTTTCCCCTGCTGTTTCCAGCTAGGGACCTGCAGCAGCAGATACTCAGTGTAAGGTGTCTTGTGTTAGTGGTTCAACCCTACAGGCCAGGTCGTTTTCAGAGCTGGACTGAATCCAGTCTGCACCTGTGAGGAGACATTCTCCCATGGGGTCCTGTCACAGTGCTCCTCACAGCACAAAGGCTGTGCCGCCTCAGAAATAGGCTCTGGCGCTGTGGGTTTGAAGGTGTGCACAGCTGTTAGATGTCCCAGACTCTCTGTGTGTTTTGTCCAGGCCCTGTACCCTCTCCAGGAGATCAGCCACTGCCTCGTGTGAGTGAGGAAGCCCCTGAGGCCCCGGGGGTTGTTACCTGCTGCGTGTGCTGGAGCGGGGCAGAGCCGGGTCCCGCGCGCTGCGCCAACGCCGCCGGCGGCAGAGCCTTCAGCATCATGTTCTGCATCACGATCTGGTGCATCTGAGCGTTCTGCATCAGCATCATCTCTACCATATCTGGGAAGAGATCACCCCCCAAGGAAGAAAATAAGAGCTTTACCAACAACTGACAAGCAGCAGAGGTGTGACAGCAGGGAGTGCCCTCCAGCACACAGACGGGCCACTGCGACCAAGGCAAAGCAGCTGAAAGGGGCACATGAAGAGTATTGGCATTATTTGCCCACACAGCACAAAATTAATGCCTTTGAATGAGACTGTTCATACCAGCTTTCCTCTTTCTCCTCCCTTCTACAGGAAAGCTGCTGATGAGCATCTTCTGTCTGTTCATTTCCCTGCAAGCCCACACCTCTGGTTATGCTGAGAGGTTGGACAAGGGCTGGGGCTGCAGCTCTCCCTGACTCCTGGATGCACAGACTGTGCTCTCCATTGCTTTGGCCCCAGACCATTGCTTTCCATGGGAGAGGTTTCCTCAAATTTACGTGACATTGCAGTGCCACCTTGAGAGTCCACTGAGTCATAGAATCATAAAAGATGGAAAAGACCTTTAAGATCATCTAGCCCAGCCCTCAAACTGTCACTGCATGCCACTCCTTACCACGATCTCTGGGATCACAAAGGGCCTGTGCAGTGTAAATAATTCGCCTGGGGGGAGGTGAAGAGGAAGAGGTGAGGAAAAAAAAGTAGGGGAAAAAAGATCAAGGCGACTCTCCTTTTCCTCTTTACTGGTCATACAAAAAGTATTTTACATGTGGCAGCTTCAGAAGAGTCATGCATGAATTGAGACTATTTTGTTCATGAAAATAAACTCTTATTCAAAAATCCAGACACTTAAATGAAGAATGAGCTGAGAAACACTGTAGTTTCGTGACCGAAGATTTCCATGTGGGTTGAAGAAAATTTTGGCTGAAGGCTGAGCCAGGGGAGTCATCCCAGGTTTTAGTTCATATGTTATTTCACAGTAGCATCCACCTATGTTTAGCAACAAACTCTTTTATTGGCATTGCACTATATTTAGATCAGCACTTTCCACTATTCTGTCTTGTTTCCAAGCACGAGGCATAATAAAAGCCTCGAGGAGATTGAACAGCAGGTTAAGAGGGGACAGAGGAATGAAACCAGATTTTAGAAGCCTGTTTGTTAATTTTGGAATCACCTGTGCACTTGCATTTGACCTTTTTAATATTGCTCCGTGCCATGAGCTGAGCTGTTATGCCTTCCCAAGCTCCCCTTGAGTTTGTAGCCCTTCTTTCTTTCGTTTTAGTGATAAGAGTTTGTCTGAAAGCCTCTCAGAACTGGTGCCCATCCTAGTTATGGAGTGCAATTCCCACAGCTCCGCCGGCAGCTCATGAATCAGCCCGTCAGTAACCAGCTTGGGTGCTGTCCCCTTCCCCGTTCCCACAGTTCACGACACCTCACCTGCCCTCCCCGGGCCTGCTGATGGGAGCTGGCTGCTACACAGAGAGCACCTCACCTTCCTTAATGCTTCCAGAGCGGGGGGCTGCAAAGGGCTGGGCAAGGGGGATCTGCGTGATCACAGGGGACGGCTGAGGCAGCTGCTGGATGATGGTGGCAGGCTGGGGTGGCATCTGGAAAAAAGGAAGGGAAATGGAGAAGTTTGGGTTGGTTTTTGCCAGCTCCCTCATCTTCGGGAGGGGCTGTTGTCTGCCTGGACTTCAGGAAAACTTTGGGCATTGTCTCCCATGAGATCCTCGTGGGGAAGCTGTTGAGGTTGTGGGCTGCACGAGCAGATAATGTTGTGCATTAGAACCTGGTTGAATGGCCAGGCCTGGGCAATCCTGCCAATCCTTGTGCCGTCTCGTCCCCAGGGTAAACCATGCACATTGTTAATTTTGGGCCTTATTTGTAAGGTGATTCCCCTCAGGTTTTACTGAGGGCAGCACAAGAGCAAGAGGTGTATCTTCCCTTTTGGAGGGATGAGCAATGCCATACAGCTCCCAAATGGTTGTTTTCTCAGACTGGCACAGTGCTAGTGATGTTTCCTAGGAGACAGTCCTTACCGTCTGCTGGATAATCCTTGGTGGCTCCACTTGGGGAGCTGGAAAAGGGATCTGGTAGACTTGTGGGGGGACAGCTCTGTGATTATGACAGTGTCCTCCAGCTGGTGCAGGTGGCTGTGAAAGCTCTTCCAGAAGGTGCTGCTCCTGCAAAATCAAGTCTCTTCTTAAAGAAAACCTGGTCACAGAAAGGCAGACTGTGTTGTTATGGACTAAATGGGATCACCCCCTGGGAACTTGCAGCAGGGCACAGCCAGTGCCTGTGTAAGCATAAGGAAAGTTTTCCTTCCCACATATCTTGAAGCACAAGCAAAAAAAGAATGGAAAAAAAAAGTGCAGAATGAGAAGCCAAAAGTCTTGGAAAACATTTCATTAATGGTTGGCGCCCCCCATAAACTGGGAATAAGTAACAGTTACTGTTGTCCCTACTTTGGCAGCATTAAAAATCCCTTCTTTGTATTTTGGCACTATCCTAGAAAGCTTATGACACAGCAGTTCAGGACAAACAGAATCAAGCCACCAACTCCCTGAAGCAGGTGCAAGCTTCCTCAGTTGTAGTGAGGGAAGCCAAAGTGCTCCCCAGGCCCCCTCCCTGATTAGCTGTTCCAGCCTCCATATTCAGAAGCAGCAAAGCACTGATAGTGCCCAGCCCAAGAACCAAAGGACAGGAAAACACTGAATCCACATCAGCAGTGCATGTGCAGGTAAATGGGCCCTTTCTGTTGCTTCTGGCCACAGAGAGGGTTTTTACCCTAAGCTCCTGCAGCAGATCTTTCCTTCGCCTCAGGGCACTTTGGAGCATGTCCTCAGGTCTGTTCCCTGAAGGAGGAAAAGTCCATTATCTTCTCAAAGGATCACAAATACAGAGCTATTACAGCACCTACATTATGAGATTAATTTGGAAAATGCGTTATAAGATAGCTTGGCTTCTTCCACTAAAGGCTTTTGGCTGCTTTTCCTGTGAAATGCATCTATGGGTAACGACTTTGTGACAAGTGCAGTCACGGCTGTTCCACAGCTCTACAAAGGCAATGCACCCTCTCTGCAATGAAACTCTTTAGGTGGCTCTCTAAAGCCCTCTTTTAACTTCCTGGCTTAGGAACTCATTTCAGCCTGAAAGTTTCTAGATGTACTCTGTATATGCAGAGGATGACTGACTGTTGTGACACATCAAAACAAACTCAGTTTTGAATGTCAACTTTGCTTTTTCTTTTTTTGTTCTGAATCAACTTCCTCTTCAGTTCTCCCCACATGGGGTTGATTCAGAACTTGCTTGAAATGAAAATAAGGAAGAATGTTTTCAGATACATTGGAGACATCTGCTCTGGAAAGCATCACTTCGGATTTGGAAACTGTAAGTCGTTACAGGGATTTTTAATTTTTGGCCACAGCATTGGAAGTTTCCAACTATTTGTCCATCAGCTCAATGAATGGGAGCCCAGGTTACAATCTAGAAACATCATTGAGCTTTTACTGGTAGCCTTTAACCTACAGGTAATATAATTATAAACAGTGCACGTGCACTGGGATGGGATGATCGACTGAGGAGCCTCTCCCTGAGAACATCACTAAGCCCTTTCTAAATTATGTCCATAATTAGAACAATGCTTCTCTTACTTGCAGCTGGGAGAGATGACTCCATCTTCTCCAGGTTCTCCTGTTCATTTTGTAGTCTCTGTTGGTAGAACCATAACAAGAACTAGTTATGAGTCAGGCAGCAAAGCTTGCAGGAATTTCCAGCCCTACCTTATGACATAGGTTGGGACGGAGGAAATAAAGCAGAAGTGGAGACAAATGGTGGTCCTCACTACAAATCTAGTTACAATAACAGTAATGTCATGCTTCCAACTGTCCAGGCCATTCCAGACCTGAAAATTGACAACATGGTGAATCAGGAGATTTATACATAATTTATTTTGTAGGGAAGAGAGATGGATCATATGAAGAACAGTTAGGGGTATTTGGTACACTAATAGGCCTAAATGGCCCTGTTCAGCTCTACCTGCCACTTGTGCCCCTTTAATCTCAGCTCTAGGTCTTCAGTTCACACCTGAACTATACTGGCTGAGCATTAATCTGCAGTTCGACCCCAGCCATGCTGTGACTGGCCACGGGTTCTTTTAACCTCTATCCCAACCTTCAGTCACTTCCAAAGGTGGCAATGGACCTGCCTCACCACTGTGAGTTTGCCTGATGGATCTGGACTCTTGGCTGAACCTGGCCACCATCTCTGGCTCTGCCCCCAGCTGGGAGCTGCCAGCTGGGCCCCTGCTCTGCTGATGTGTTATTATGCTCAACTCCCTGCTCCTTAGAGATGCTCAGAAATTGGAGACCTTTCACTCACACACAGGCCCCCTCCTTGGTTCTGCACAGCTGCACACTGCTGAAAGCTCTGCCCTCCAGTGGCTTCTGCATCTAAGAAAAAAGGCTCCGCTGTGGAGACAGGTTAGATACCACTTCCAGCACCCTTGCCTCCAGACAAATTGCCTTTCCTCCCAGATCAGCTCAGGTGGTTAGAGCATGGTGCTGGTAACACCAAGGCTGTGGGTTTGATCCCTGTACAGGCCATTCACTTCAAAGCTGGACTCTTGTGGGTCCCTTCCAACTCAGAATACTCCGCTCTCAGATAACACCCTAAGTGGCTTCTGGAGGATATTGAAGCAGAAGATGCACACCAGTGGATGCCAGATGTGCTGAGGGTGGAGGAACAGAGCAGAGTGGAGAACATAGAGTGCAGAATCACAAGCAAGAGGAGCTGGGATTCTGTGCAGCACCTCATATGCTGCCAGCCCATGTTTCACCAGGCAACATATCTGATGTGACAGCAGACATGAAATTGCCCTAAAACAACCCGAGGTCCTCTTTATCCAAAATTTACTCCTAAACTTTGCCTGTCACAACTCAAACTGGTTTTGAGCTGATGACATCTCCCATAAGATCAAAGTCTATTTAATTTACCATAGGTCCATATAAACTTGTACAATGTTATTTAAGAAAGAGACAGTAGCTACAGCACCACTGCACATTGGTCTGCCTCTGATTGCATGAAGAAAGACATTCTCAGTTGGCTACAGATCCCTATCGTACCTCAGTAGAGGTATAATATCTTAAAATACAATGTTAACGCTCAAACAGGCAAGAGCAAAAAGCAGAGCAAAGGTGACCACTGTGGAATTATTCCCTCACCTTTTCTAGGAGTTTGAGTTTCAGTCGCGTCAGGTGGTCCACCACTGAAGGATCTCCCATCACAGTAGTCTCCTGGAAGAGCAGGCAGGCAAAACCAGGTTAAAAAGCTAAACAAAGGCAGGTAGGCTTTTGGTGGTCATTCTTTCCCCTCCACGATCTTCATAGGAGAAAAATTCCATTGTTAAAAAACATGAAGACAAGACTGGAAGAACCCGCGAGAAGAAGAGAAAAGCTGCAGTTTCACTCCAAGGTAAGAATGAGCACAGGTGGTCACCACAACGTCACAGGCACAGCTTTCCCTGCCATTTCCCTCAACACATTTTTGTGCTGCAGATCGTGATGCCTCCCTCACAGGAGGGAAACTGAGGCTGAATATTTATTTGTCCGTTCTTGGTGGTTGCTAGCCTTCCCCTGGCCGTGTTACTAAGCCTGGCCTCTGTGTTGTTAGAGCCTTTTTAAGCAGCTC